CACAATGTTACTTCATTCAATAAACTTTCACAATACAAAGGGAGGGAATTAAAGATCTTCGACCATCAATAAAACATAATTTAAAGTTATATAACCATAAGATAGATAATTCATCGCGAGAGATGGGCTGCGAATCCAAGGGATGCCTCGAATACGTCATCAAGGTCTTCTCGACAAAGCCGAAAATCCTCAAAGTGGTCACTTTCAATTGTGATGTTGAAGTCGAAATCCTAACTCCGATGCACGTCAAGACGAGTCCAGTTGCTTCTTTTGGTTCCAAAAATACGGCAAACCAATAAAACAAATCGGTGAAGAAATTCGTAAGGGTTCCCGGCGCAAAGCTCGGGAAACTACACATTCTCAAAGAGAAATGTGAAGATACGATCGCTCTCGATGAGAGGGAAGAGGTTGCAGGATTTGAGAATCCAGAAAACTTTGGACTTCTCAAAAAAGAAAAGTCACTATGCTCAAAAGCATATAAGATTTTAAACAATCTGATTTTTAATACTGTTCGGACTGGCCAGAATTGTTGAGCAAGTTGCTCCCATTGGGCCTAAAAACTATGGGCTTTGAAGGGCCCATTTTCTCATTACTAAAGCACAAATTCACACTCAGTCCATCACGATGGATGGGTGAGGAGATTTGTGGCCGTCGATGGTTCGTGCACTTTCCTGGCGACGAATTCTCCGGTGAACGGCGAGACTTTTCCAGCAAGATCCAAAGCTGGATGGCCGTAGAAGGAGGGAGTTCGGAAAGGTGAGTCGTTGTAGCCACCGTGGCGAACAGCTGCATCGGCAGAAGGGAGGAAGAGGCGGATACTGTTCTCTAAAGTGAGAGACTTCGCCGACTTCAGTGACGGGGACAGCTCCGCATACTTCCGACAACCACCGGTACAGATCGGTGACTCGGAACTGGTAGTGGCTTGGGTAGCCGCAATCGATGCATCGTAGAATCCACCTAGATCTGGTGCCGTTCGGTTCTAGTGAGGCTGTCGACTGAGCAAGACGGTGGTGGAGGATGGAGAGGTTGAGCTTTCGCTACGGTGCAGGGGATATATCTGGCGGGTCCGGCGGCTCAGGTGGAGGAGATGGTCTCGCCTGTGGAATCTACGTCATCTCGACATCACGGGAAGAGGGGAGGACGGCGGAGATCGGAGAAGAGCCAATGGCTCTAACGAAACCATTCCGGGGAGGGGGAGGGGAGGAGGTCGGAGGGTTGGATCTCTCCGGTGAGGAAGCACACCGGCAAGTGGAGTCCTCTTCCTAGCATAAATCGAACGAGCCGAACCGCCGGCCATACACATTGACGGCGGCTATCTCGGGACCAGGGACAGAGAGCACATCTCTCTTTCTAAGACGAACTCGTTTTTTTATCGGTTCCATACTAGATGTAGCTATCAATCACTTTTCCTCTTAAAATTCACATACGCAGATACAAATTTTCCATATGTCGGTAATTTATCAAAAGGAATATTTTCTAAAAAGCAAGTAATGGTTTAATGTCATATGGGATTACTGTCGAATGGGATTATTCCAACAATTAATTACTTTAATGTAATTAAGTACAAAAAGTTATATCGTATGAACGAATCGGCAGGTTAGGTGTTGGAGTGTGCTGCACTTATTTGAAGTGAAATGATTAGTTTTAAGGAAAGTTAATTAATTATTTTTAAAATGGTCTTTTGTTTAATTGCAAGAATAGCAATAAGGTGTTTATCAAAAAAAATATATATAGCAATAAGGTGTTTTGATCTCTGTGTGGGTAGAAACAAAGACAGGGAAGCAAGTCAAAAAGGTTGTCGGTATGAATTTATTAAAACCCAGAAGACATCATATCAATTTATCATGTTGTTTTTCTAAACACTATATTATTACATTATGGTTCCATTTTCTTCAACAATTTTTTGCAAAGTTATTAACTAATCCTTAAAAAAAAAAGTCAAATGCAGCGTATAAAAAAGCTTTGTCGAGTTTTATTATTCCAGTTTTAGTTGTGTTGTTAATGAATACGGTTGTGATTTTAGATTTTTGAAACTGTTTTTGGCATATGAATACGTAATTTAACCAATGTTATCTCCTCG